TTTTGTAATTTTACTATGCAACTTTTAAGTAAAAATGTAGTAATTTTACAAACATTTTTACTTTGTTGCGACAAAAACATTTTTTTTTTTAATTATGGTTCAGTCTCCCACATGTTCACATCTCCCGGATTTCCCCTACTTTTTAAAATCACTGGGTCTGTAAAGTCTCATATTAAACAACTTAACCTGATTATTAACTAATTAACTCAAACGTATTTTTATTCATTCTGAAATATCAAGACAAATTTATACATTTCCCAGGCGTGCGTGTGCGCACACTGTGCAGGCACAAAAGAAGTGTAATACGATTTGCATAAAACAAAAAGCAATTTGCGTCAGTTGGCGTATTGGTTAATTGAAATTTCGTTTTAAAAGGTGTGACGCGGCGTCATTACATTAATTTATCGGCTAAACGCTCGTATAAAATTACTTATATCTTATATCTCGAGAGCGATCGCTGTAAGCAGGAATTTCTGAATTATTTTCAATGAAAGGTGCATGCTTTTCAGCTCGTGTAAATCACGGTGGCGGAAACCGGGGACCGCGCTTTAGCAAAGGTTACCTTGTAATATTTTTTACTTGTAAATATTCGCTGTTACCATTATTTTCGAGCAGTGAATGTTGGATTTTCTGGGATTAAGGAAAAAGATAAGCATTTTTAATTTCCCAACAAATTTTTAATATAATTGAAGATAAAAAAACCCATTTCGAACAATTAAAAAATTCGACACTTAGATTTAATCTAACCTCACTTTCTACTTTTAATTATTGTAATTGTACGTTTTATGCATTGTTTAACAAATAAAATTACGCCTTGAAGATAAAATGTTGTATGCCATGCAGCTGAAAGGGTTTTTTTGCTTCGCTCAATTGTAGGCCTGCGCTACGCGTCTGTATTCCAACTTTGAGCTCAGTACAAAAAGCCTTATGACAAATAAATTTTTATTACGATAAAATTTAAATTACAAAATTATGTTATTAAATTAATATTTTTTACAGATATAAAAAATGACTTTATTTAGTAAAATAGTCTTAAATTTTGGACTATAAAACTAACTTTATAAATAGAATTGTGTTAAAACGCTTTTTAGGACGAGAAAACACATTTTTACAATAAAATTGAAATTAAAATATACTTGATACGGGTGATTCTACAAAAGTTGGACAACTTGATGTCATCAGTATTTTAATATTTTTTGTATATATTTTAGTATATTACAAAAGATCCAGGTTTTTTTAGCTTCTCCACCCAATTTTAATGTATTTTTTTAAAAGCACGTTTGTAGAAAAACATAATAAATATTCAAAACATAAGTACCTTGGCGTGTCACAACTCCTGAATCAAATATTTGAGTGGTTTTATTTTAAAATATATTCAATTTATCTTAAATTTTTCAATTTCACTACAAACTATGAAACATTAAATAATGTATTTTTCCTATTTTATGATGGATTTGAATAATTGCAATTTTTAAAAAAATAATAATCTTTATACTCACTTTTACCCGTCAGTTCTGTGTCCAATGTTAAAATTCAAAATTGCTGCAAAATATTGAAGTTTAAACGTCAAGTCCTCGTTTTAACTCAAGTGTTGGTAAAAATTACCCACAGAGCCCGCCCTTTGTACGACACTCATCTTGAAAACAATGCAAGCGGCGAAGTTGTGGTACTTTGGTGAGTAGTTATTTTCTTACGTATATACATATATTTTATTGTAATTTATATAAGGCTATATGTGATTTGTTGATAAGTAGCATCCACTAATAAAAAATATCAGTAAAATACTTAATTCCGAATTATAATCTCAAATTTGTATCCCATTCATCTGTACCGTGTCGTCAGTTCCATGTTCTATGTTTCGGTTATCTATTTTTCGCAAACTTCAATTTAAATTCTGCTTGCGCAGAACTTGTTTATTTAATGTCATATAAATTTGATGTGGGTCCCATATCTAATAATTAAGACATCGGTGTACCCAAAACCCACCAGCCGCCACTGATGTGTGGTATTATTTGATTTTCAGATATTTAATGTATAATATGCTCAAAGTTGCAATAAATCTTATAATAATAATAATAATAATAGTTATTTATTGATCATCATAATTATAAAAATAACAACAATCAAAAGGCCATTGACCTAGGTCCTTCAGCCAAGGTTAATTAAAATATAAATGTAATGTATTTGCATGTGTTAGAAACCGAAATTGATATTAGATAGAGTGCAAAAAAAAAAAAAAAGTACATCGTATTGTGTATGTAAAGAATAAATTAGATATATATATATGTATATGTGTTCATTCGTCAGCTAGAGCTTGCATTTCCTCAACCAGGGATCTTGTAGGATGTTTAATTCGGGTGGGAGCTCTCTCTAGGTCTCTTGGAATCAGTACTGGTGCCAGAAACTGGTAAGCGGCTTCTCTCTGGGCAAAGTTGGTGGATAGTGTTATTAATCTCGCAGAAATTGGGCTGATTTTAAATTTTTCATAAAGGAGGGTGTTGGGAGGGTTGTGGAGTGGATTTCCTGGGTGCCTCATTTTGGTAATTTTTCTCATTGCAGAAGTCTCAGCCACATTCAGGATTTTTAAGGTAGATTTTCGGGAATTTAAAAACAGGGAGGGAGCATATTCAAGGATGGGACGGCAGATGGATTTATAAATTATTGCTGCCGTTTTGAGATTAATGCCATTATTCTTGTAGGTAAGACATCTAAACTGGCTGGCTCTGGAGATACATTTCTTTTTGGAAGAGTTGGCATGTTCCTTCAGGTTTATTTTGTTGTCAATCAGTACTCCAAGGTATTTAACTGATTGAACTGGCTCAAGTATTTGGTTATTGATAGTAAGTTGAAGATTGTTAAGGTTGTTTCGATGAAAAATAATAAATTTGGATTTGTTAGCATTAATGCAGAGTCTCCAATCCTTAAGCCATTTATTAATGGTAAGGAAAAGCGTTTTTAACCTTTCAAGGGCAAGCTGTGGTGATTTTTGATGCACAAAGAGTGCCGTGTCATCTGCATATTGTAAAATGTAGTTTGCTTCGCTTGGTGAAAAAATTTGGTTGTGTTCATGCTGCATGTCATAACAATAAATGTTATATAGCAGTGGCGACAGCGGAGAGCCTTGGGGAACTCCCTGTTCCGCAATGAGTGTAGGAGATTTTTGCCCATTAATGCAAACATAGAGTGGTTTGTTTTCAAGATAGCTATTGATAAGGTAGATGAGGGAATTAGCAATTCCGATCTTCTTAAGTTTGTAAATAAGTCCTTTATGCCAAACCGAGTCAAATGCTCTTTTGATGTCCAAGAACAAAGCCGCAGAAGAAAGATTATTTAGCCTCGCAGTTTGTATATTGGATATGACCGCGGTAAGAGGATGTGCAGTGGATCTGGAGCTTCTGAAGCCAAATTGATAATTGGGGATCTTGTCAGCGACTTGGGTATTGATTTTGAGTAGTATAATTTTTTCCAGGAGTTTTCCCAAACACGGTAGGAGGGTAATTGGGCGATAGTTATCTGCATTGCTGTGATCAGTGTTGGGTTTGGGTATCATAATTACTTTTCCTGTTTTCCATATGGGTGGAAAGTAATGGTTATTGAGACAGCTTTCAAAAAGTTTAATTATGTATAAATGAACGTTGTAATGTAGTTTCTTAATTATAGTCCAAGGGATGTTATCGTCTCCAGGGGTGGAATTTTTCTGATTGGAAAGTATATTGAAATAATCTTCCTCGTCAATTGTTTGAGGGTCAAAGTCGTTTTCTGAGTCAAAGTAGGAGTTATACCACTGTATTGTTGTGTCAAAGTTTTGTTGGTTAAATTGTGGGTTATCCTGAGCTTGATATTGGTGATTTAAGTGTGTCGCAAATATTCGAGCTTTATCAAGGTCTGTATTGTGTTCCTCGTCATTATCAATGATTGTTGGTATTTGATATGGTGTTTTGTATCTGCTTAACTTTTTAATTTCAGAATAAAAACTTTTTCCCCGTTTGCTGTTGATTGTTTCGCAAGCTGCAATCCATTGGCTGTTTTTGAAGACTGTAATAGCTTGTTTAATAGACTTTGACAATTCGTTGATGTGTTTCTTCTGGGCAGGATCAGGGTGTAGTTGATACTGCCTGTATATTTTTCTTTTGTTTTTAATAAGGTTAATAATATGTGGTGGAAGATTGTGATGAAAAAAAGATTGAGAATAGGTAGGCGTAAATTTTTGAATTGAATTAGAAAGACAGTTGTTGAAGGTATTAATACTGTTGTTGCTTATTGAAGTGTGGTTCATTTGGTTGGTATGTCTCAAAAGTTCGCTGTTAATGTGTTCAATTTTGCTTTTGTTGAAGTTTAGTTTTACTATGTTGTTTTCAGTAACGATGGGGGCCTCCAGATTCATTTTTATTAGCATTGATAAATGGTCTGAACCTAAGTCGGGCAACAAGTCGATTCCAGTGATGTTGTTTGTTAAATTTTTAGTGTATAATAGTATATCAGGGGTGGAATCATTATTGTTATCCATTAAAAACGTGGGTGGGGTCTCAAATTGGGAAAAGTTGGAACTATTTAGGAAGGCTTTGAGTTGTTTGCATCTGTTGGCACTACTTAGGTTAAAGTCTCCAATTATAAGAGCATACTTTTTAGTGGAAGCCATGATAAATATGGACTGTTCTATGAGAGATGAGTGGTGGATGTAGACAAGAAATATGTGAAGGTGGTCTTCTTTAAAAGGAATTGAGAAATGTAAGCAATTATTCCAAGGATTGTTGATGCGAGGAGAGTTTTGTTTTCGCATTTTTAGTGAAGGGTGAATAAGAGCCAAGGATCCTCCTCTTGTATTGCGATTAAGAGTGTTTCCGTTTTGCCGAAGAATGTTCCAGTTCCTAAAATTGGTATTGTCGCTCTCCTTGGTTTTGGTTTCCACGAATAAGGCGGCGCTTATGTCATATTTCTCGATGGTGTGAAGTGTGAGGTGTTTTTTAGACATGAAATTGTTTATGTTGGAGTATAAAAGGTTACAGTTGAGCTCGAGCTTGTCCATTATTTTTTCCAGGGATTACTTCAGTGGGAGAGCTATGGTCATCAATATCGAGATCAAACATTAGGATGTAAATCCAGTTATTACCTACAAAGCTTATTGTGGTTTCGATGTTAAATTCTTTGACAAATCTTTGTTTAAGTTTATGGATAATATCTTCGCGAGGTGTGGCGCTTGATTTGTTTAACTTTCTAAGAAATGTATTAACAATGTGGTCATGAATGGTGATGTGGGAATGAACTCGGGCTTCTTTTTTTGCGTTGTCTACCATTGATGATTTTTTATTTAAAGATTTAACCGGAAGATTAGGTATACCTTCAATAGGTTTGGTGGGACGGTTGGGGCATTGAAAGGACCAAGCTTGGTGCTCAGTTGAATTACAGCTCAAGCATTTAGGGGGCAGCTCAGAGGTGCATTTCAAGGTGGGATGATTTTCACTGCATTTCAGACACTTTATGGGGGTGGAACATTTGTCTGTTGTGTGGGTAAATAGTGAGCATTTGGAGCAGGGCAGTGGGGCTGGAGTTGGGGGAGAACTTGGATAGATTGCGTAATGTCTGCATTTAAAAAACAAACCTTCATTAAGCAGCTTTTCGTTTAAAATGGAATTTTTGGTAATTAGCCTTATGAAATGTGTTGGTTGATTAGTAGTCCTAGAGATTATTCTTTTACAGTATTGGATTGCAGAATCTTGTTGCTTAAGATGGGCAAGGATATCATTGTCGGAAATATCTTTTTCAACGTTTGATATTACGCATGAGTAAGAAATTGATGGAGTATTTGGGGTTCTTGGTGATGTTTTATAAGGTTTGGTTTCAGTAAAGTTGGAGATATGTTTATTGGTTTGAAGTTTTTTTAACAAATTTGTAAGAATGATCTTTGGGGAGTCAGATTTAAGTAAGAAACCTTTGGTAGTTTTAATGATTGTGTCACTGTTATGTGGACGTTCCTGTTCCCATAAGTCAGCTACTTGGGTTCTTGTAGTGAAGTTATCAGTTGAAAAATAGAATAGGTTTAAGTATTCTTTTTGTAGGATTTTTTTCATGATGTTAGAAGTGTTTTTTTTGTAGTTTAAGGAATTATTGGCATCGTTTGAGGTTGTAGGTAGACTTGTTGAATTGTTGGGGACTTTTGAACATGAAGGTAGATTTGTCACATTATTGGATTGAATTGATTCTTGTGATATGTTAGTGTTATTACTTGGACCTTTATCTACTGATTTCTTACGTTTTTTTTTCTCCAATCCGATAATGTCCCTTATTTGTTCGTCAGATAGTTGCCTTGCGTAGGTTATGAACTCCGAACTACTATACTTTCTCTTCTTTGATAAAAATTCCGAAAGGGGGTTGTCGGTGTCTTCATCTTCATCGCCCGAAATCTCCATTGTCTTGATTTTACACTTGTTTTCACAATATAGACTTTACCGATATGTACACGCGGACGTGATATTTTAGTTTATTATTATTATATTTTCCAATAAAATATGTATTTAATTAGTACCCTGGTATACTCGTCACTTCCCTTGCATTCAAATTTAGAAAACAAAATACTGTTTAATTTTCTCCGAAAACTGTATAAACAAAATAAGTCAAAAGTTGCCCAACTTTTGTGCAATCACCCATACATTAAATCCAAAAAATACAAAAATGACTTCTTGCATGGATAAAAAAACACATTGATACGCAAAACAGTTCCTGGCACTACTTTTTGATGCGACAAATATAACTATTGCTGTTGTCACAGCACCCCGTGAGGTTTTATTAGAAGTTGTAGGATTTTAATTTAAAATTTTTAAATAGTAAATTGATATTGACATATGGGGACAAAAATAGGGGAAGTACCGGCAGCAAATGTCAAATTTTATTTTGTACCCTTTATTTTAAAGATTACTTAGTTTTGGTGATTTAAAAGGTGGAAAATTTTTATTTACAAATTTTTATGAATTTCTTGTTATCTGGAGACAAATTTGCTACACAAGATTTTTGTTTTATTTCTGCTGTAACTTTTATTTTCATCAATAGCAGTTTTATAGGATATCCTTTTATTTTTGTTTGCCTCTTAAAACCTACGTTTTTTTGACAGGAAACAAGGTTAATCAGAGAGTACCTATGTGAAATGAACATTGCGTCAATAGTCGACAAAGTCTAATTACTTTTTAATAATTTCAAGGTAATATTTCCGGAACATAAACTAATTCACTTCCTTTTTATTGATTTAAAAATTTTGGTACCTACTTATAAGTATACCTACGTATCCTTGCGAATAAAAAGTAAAACGAATAGATAACATCTACCATTTGTTGTGAAGTCTGTCGCTACTTAAAATATATAAAGCTGTGTCCATGATATACAAAAATTTTTATGGGTAGAAATAATTCATAGTAAATTTTAGTGCACATTCCTTTCTTTTATTTTATCTAAATTCAACCTCGTAAACTCTATACAGCGCTTGTAAGTTATAACCTTGCCTTAATAACTTAACACACGACTTAAAACTGCCAAAAAAGATTAACGGCCGACACATTTCGGCCACGCTAAAATTCCACGACGGAAAAATCTTTGTTGGTATTTACTGCAGTGGCGGTACCAGGATCTTGATACAGGATACCAAAAAGTCATCCTATTAAAAAATTTGTTTTCAATATTCTCTCAGGAGTACATTTTAGCCAATTATTATAATGGAAAATATGTACTTAAAAATTGAAAATAATTCTCCGGATTTTTCTCAAACCTGTTGCCATTTGGCAATAGACACTCGAGCCCTTCGGGCTGGTTTCAATTTATTCTTAATGTTTTGTGATTGATAAGTTAAATAATAACATTTTTAAGGACACCAAAAACATGGTATCCTGATTTCGACATTTTACACAAAAAACGTGCATCAGGAAAGGTTAAATCGTGTACACACAACTTCAAGATATTATTTATTACGCGTACTAATTGTTTTAATTTCTTTTTTGAATGAACTGATGAAGAGTCGTGATATGTGATTAAAAATGTTTGTTATTACGTTACTTTGTAATATCTTTGATTTACTCGAGTATAATTAATTTTTATAGTTATTTGTTTATACTCTACTATATACTATACTATACTATACTATAAAGTTAACATGGGATTAAAAATGTTTGATATTACGTTACTTTGTAATATCTTTGATTTACTCGAGTAGGTATAATTAATATATATATATATAAAATATATTTAATTGTTTATACTATACTATAAAGTTAATTTTGACAAGGTTTGTCTTTGATTAAGTTTTTTTTTCAACAATGCAGTGACAGATGTGTTTGTAGTAAAATAGATAAACAATTGTGAATTATTGAAGGTTATCCTTTGAGCGCTCAAGATTTATCGACTGAAACCGTGGAAATAACAAGAAAAAAGTAAAATGAACTATCGAGAAAGACTAAAGGCAATAGGCAATAAATCGTTGATTTTAAAAATAAATACAATATCGGTTCGTAGTGTGAATAAAAGTCGCTCTGGTTATTTAACGAACTGAACTATTTTATTTTATAACTTAATTACACTTAAAATACTAAAAAACTATAAAACAAACTAATCACTAAACTACTAAATATTTATATATCACTACTCTACAAGATTCTCTTTATTTAGTAGTAGAGTAGTAGAGTACCAAAGCTTGACTGACTGCTCCATGCTTCGCTGTACCTTATATATTCAGTGCCTACGTAACTCACGTCACACAAGCACCTTCCCGAACATTCCAGCGAGCTCCACACCGCAGCAAGCAGCAAGTGCTTTGGTATCAATATTGACCTGCTGAAAGGTTACTTGCCAGATGTAAGGTTTTGTAGGGGAAAAATCTTCCAAGATATTTGTATATAATTAACAACCACTGTTATTTCAACCCTCGAAGTGTAAAGTCTCAATAGAGAAGTTTTTAATCGTTTTAACATATTTCAATTTATTCATTTTCAAAAATCATAAGTTTCAAACACGAAATAACTAAATCAACAAAAGATTTAATGCTTTTTAAGTTTAAATGGAAAAAATTACTTATGGCTACCTAGGACAAACTATTGCGATAGGAGCCGTAAGCGAGTGCAGTAATTCATCCGAATGGAAATGGCCATTTCTCAAGAGTTTTCACAAGGGTTCACATTCTTGGAAAAATAATATTTAATAATTACTCACCAGAAATGTGGTACTAACCTAACATTGATACACTTTCTAACACTAAAACTGCAAACTGATGATGCAGATTACAGTTGAGCGACCGGCCGGCGTCTTATTTCAATCGGGAAATCATTTCATTGGTTATCTTAGGTAGTGTGATGCTTCACACCCGAAAAAATTGTCCATTATTGTAAAATTTATATTTTAACTCAAAGTTATACTTTATTTATACGAATTATTTAAAAAATTGTACAACAGAGTAACATTTATTTTGGAGAAACAACAAGAGATTCCAACTCTTTTCTTGACAATATTGTGCAAATGGTTAAATATAAAATCTCACTGTTTCCAACAAATTATGGAAAATTGACTTAAACAAACTAATTAGAAAAATCAATCCAACTATCTTGGATAACGTACGTAGCTACGTAGCATTTATAGAAAATTGTGCTCCAATGGCATGTTGAACAAGTTTGTGCAATGTTTTTCAAACGCATTTTTCTCTGTGTGTTCTCCATAAGAATTCTTGCAAAATAAATTAACTTCGTTTAGGCAATGTTGATTTATTTTGCAAACGAAATAGACAATAGACCTGATTTTTTTGTAACATAAGGAAACATAAGGCGGCTAAGATAGTAACTGCAAATTTTCATTACATTGGTTGCAATATTAGAAAACGATGACAACAATTGAAAACGTATAAACCTACAAAATTAATATAAATAAATAAGTAAATAAATAAATTAGAATAACAATAATGAGATATTTATGATTTTTTTTTACCAGGATTACACTAAAATAGGTAGTACTTAACAGGTAGGCAAATAAACTGGAATAATATAGCCGCAGTTTTCCCATTAAAAACCACATTTAACTTAATTATATATTATAAACATTAGAATCTTTATCTGTTGCGCTGCATTTTCCTGTAGCCAGTGACGTTTTTAACGGCCGCGAAGGTCCTTTTCGCGCGTTCGTTGTAAATCTTGAAACTCGCAGGTTTACAGGTGGATTTTTTTCGCGTTAAGTGCGGCAATTAGCGCTCGAAGTAAATCAGAACGGCCGCGTTTGCGTCACGCAGTGTCGCTAAATGTCTTGGTTGTTTTCGCCTTTCTTCTTTTCGCATACGCACACGCTGATTTACAAGCTGGATTGCTGTTGTGCAAAACAGCGACGACGCGTATAAAGTGATATCAGTTGATATCTTTAGAATTCCACCGATAGTTTATAAAAGAATAAAGGTACACTGTAATTTTACTAAACATGTTTAGGAAGTTTTTACGCACCACAATATAGTAATAATAAAACTCAGTTTTGTAAATTCACTACACGATTCATTACAACTCAATTTGGGAAAATTACAAAACGTTTGTTGAAATTCACGAAGCATTTATTAAAAATTTGTTCAGTAACATTACTATACAGGTATTGTAATTTTGATAATTATTTAGTAATTTTAAAATGGTGTATTGTAATTATACTATACAATTCATACCAACTCAGTTTAAGAAAATTACAAGATATATTTTACAATTTTACTGAACTGAAGAAAATTCGTTTTGCAATATTACAATACATATATTGTTATTTTGTACAACAAATTACACTAAAAATATTTAGTAATTTACGAATTGTAATTATACTACGAAAAAAAACCTGCATTTTCTTAGTTTCTTCAAGAAACTTTCTTGACCCATTACTGTAAGATTTAAAAAAGTTGAACATTTACCTCGCCAGAGACCTATTTTGGGTCTTATCAATGTCGGGCAATTTGGTGTATTGGAACACAGCAAAAATGAAAGACACCTGAGCTTATATACTTTCCACCTAAGTCAACCGATGCGAGATGTAAGAACATCACGTGATTGCCGCAACCGGTACATGCTATAAATTTCACATAACATTATAGCAAATTAAATTACAAACAACGTTTGTAAATCTGAGACTGTTTAGTAAAATTACAACTTATCTTAGTATACTAATCTATAGATTTCCCAACATGTCTTGGAAGATTACTCAAATTGTATTATAATTTTGTATTGGTATACACTGATTTGTAATTTTACTCATGCTTTGTTTTGCAAAACAATTGTAATTTTACAAAAAATGTGTACATGATTAAAAATATATATATATATATATATATATATATATATATATATATATATATATATATATATATATATATATATATATATTAGGGTGGCCCAAAAAAAAAAGATTATATTTTTTTTCTCGT